CACACACACACACACACACACACACACACACACACACACACACACACACACACACACACACACACATCAGCAGCCCTGTTCTGCCCTCAACTCACTACAAAGAATAAAAGAACAGATGAGTGTTAAAAGCAAGTACTATATACTACTTTAACCCCCATCTGGGCCCCGCCACAACAGACACGCACACACATATTTATACACACACACACCCATGTCCACTTTGTTGGGGGGGGAGAAAAGACAGACGTAAACAACACAACCTAATGGCTGTTTAAAGCCATTATGTTGAAAAAGATAAACTCTCATGCCTGTGGAAGGGCAGGAGTGCTGTGGAGCTGCATCAGTGTGATGATGTGCAGGTATGCTGCTGTAAACTTCATCATGAATGAAAAGTGTACCCCCCCCCCCCCCACCACCACCACACACACACACACACACATGCACACACCATCTCTAGGAGCAGCAGAGAGGGATTAGAAACCAGACAGAGATGGGTTCTGTGGAGCATTCAAAAGAAAGGACATGCAGTCCTAGAAAATAGTTTATTTCTTTAAAAGATAAGTTTCCTTCATTTATTTTTGAATAAATATGCCATAAGTAAAACCCTTTTAAAATGTTCACATTATTTTCCGGTTAAAATATTATTTTGTACCTTTTTTGCAGTCAAACTTCTTCTGTGTTTTGTTCTGTTTTAACCATTATTATTTCAAAATGTTTGACTTGATTGATCATAGTTTTGTATGACTTTTAATTTTTGTAACTTTTATACTTTTAAGTTATTCAATTTTATGTAAAACAATTACTTCAGAGAAATGACATTTCTTCAATTTCTTCAAAAACTTTGATCTCTAAAATTTTTCTTCAGATACCAGCTCTGTTTCTGTTTTTTTTTAGCTTGCAGCTATTGTCTTGCTAATTTCAGCTTTATATATGGTTTGTTAATTTGAGCTTTTAGCTACAATTTAGCTAATTATAGCTTTTTGCTGTGGTTTTGCTTGTTAAAACTTTTTGCATAAGTTTTGCTGCATTTGGTCTTTCAGCTTTGCTGTTTAACTTTAACTAGTAGCTAAAATTTAGCTGTATTTAGCTTAAAGCTAGAATTTTACTGATTTCAGCTTGAAGCTTTGGTTTGGGTATTTAAAGCTTTTAGAAACCCTTTTGCTAATTTTAGCCTTTAGCTATGTTTTGCTGCATTTATCTTTTAGCTATTATTTTGCTCATTTTAGATTCTAGCTACTTTGGTTAACTTTAGCTTTTAGCTACAGTTTAGCTGTATTTAGCTTACAAAAACCATCATATTGATTTTAGCAATTAGTTATTATTTGCTAACTTTAGCTATTATTTTTATTCATCTTCACTTCCACCTTCTTTGTTTAACTTTACCTTTTAGTTGTGGTTTAGCTGGCATAGGGGTTGCCAAGTTTTTGCAAAGGTTATGAATCATAAATATCTTACCTGTTGCAGATAGCTCTTTGAATGAACTCGGTTCAAAGAAATAGTTTACATCTGACTGGATTTACGATTTTACGGTTCATTTGAGACCAGCGGATTAGTACTGTCTTAAAACACAGTTTCATAGCAGTTTATGCAAACTCTACAGTATTAGACTACCATCAGTGTTGCGTCATAAACTTTATTACGTAAAATTCTGTGGGCTTTTGGAAGCACAAGTAGCAACAGCCGCATCTTGCTAGCACTTCAGCCTAGGGCACTTCTGGCAGGGATATTATAATTATCACAGCCTGCCCTGAAAGGCGAGCAGTCATGTAATTGTCTTTGTGTATGTGTGTGTGTGTGCCTGTGTGTTTCTTGGCTGTCTGTTGACAAAATATCTCGTGAACCACTGGTGTGGACCATAAAAAAACTCTCAGAAAGAACTCATTGGTTGTACATCTAAAGCTGATTTAACTGTTGTAGTCAGCACAAATCAAAATGACCGTCACAGCTAATCAGGCTTTGCAAACTGCAAATGCCTATAAGTTGGTCAGTTTGACAGATATTGAGCTAATGTTTGGTGTAGCTGAGAGTCAGACTTAATTAACCGACTTTGCAAGACTTTTGTTGCAAACCTTTGTAGGCAGACATTACGTTTGTTTTTAAAAGGTTTTCTAGTATCATATTTCCAGTGAAATAATTGTGTAATGTGATAGTGATGGCTTTATAAAGGGTTATAAATTAGTTTTGGCACGAACTGTGGTAAAACTCTTGAGGAGTTGTTTCAAGACGGCAGTGGTCCACTTTTAGTTTTTGGCCCCACTCGGCCAAGCCGTTAGCTTTTTGGACCTGATCAAAATTTATCTGCATTTCTCTTAGGTTATTTAAATTGTATAACTTAACTATGAATTATTATTTTCCCTCTTCAAAGGATCAAATACTTTGAATATGACTAAAGCTGAACAAAAACTTAAAGCTAAAACTTGGCTTTCTTTTGCACTTTGTGTGGCTTTTGCATGAAGACACATATGAGTTGTAGACGCAGAAGGATGACGGGGGGGGGGGGGTTTATAAATCTCGATCCCGTCATCCTGAAAGTTACAATTATATATGTTTCTTGATTGTCCTGAAGTCTATGACACATAAACCACATTGCCCACCCAAAGACAAGCTGAGCTTCGTTACGAGTCCCGTCTTGTTTAATGGAGAGAGAAGGAAGTGATAGTCAAGATTGGGGAAAGATAGGGCGGTGCGAAGAGATATTCGTCACATCGCAGCCCCTAGTTCCTAGTTGCCTCTGCTGACAGATTAGATCATAGAGAACTACTACTGGGAGCAGACCAATTTGTTCGTACAAGAAAAAGGGAAAAAAAAATCCCTCCGTTTGAATCGGTTTCAAACCTTGGCCTTGTTTTGACCTCTCTCTGCCCACAGCTGAGGCTTGCTCTTGAGTGCATTGACCTGTTAAGACATGACCCTTGCGCTGCCCCCTGTTCAATCCCTGCTGCTGCCACCGCCTACTCCTGAGAAACCTCCGAGGGCTTGACGGAGAGACAAACCTTGGGGTGGCCCCATAGATGACTCATCTACAAGTTTCATTGAGAGTCATTCAGTTGTTGTCGTCACTTTTTTTTCTTCCTTTTTAATCTTTTGCCAATCCAGYGTTCAGCACAGTGCGTGATACATAAGTAAACCTCCCACTGATATAGCATGGCATGTGGTGTCGCCGTTCCGGTTTGGGTCACATCAAAGGAAAATGTGCAAAAATAGCAGTCGTGTTTGTGTGAAAAATGAATTTATTACATGCAAATCTGTGTATTGGATACACACAAACTTGTTTTTTTATATATACGGGGAAGGCTCTATTCTGTTATTTTCTTCTCTTTTGCTTTATTTTGCTCTGTATGTCAAAGTAAATGTAGGTGAAGGAATGCAGACTAAAAAAGAAACAATTTTAATCACCAAGTCGGTGTAAATTAACTGATTGGTTTCTTCATGGACATCAGTGACAACTGGCCAACAGAGACAGTGAAGAGAGATCCTCAGCTGTAGACTTGTTCGTACTCGCTTGTAGTACCGGGACAGGTACTGACAGTCACGAGAAGGCAAGGAAGTGCAATTTTTGCAGGGAGCAGTCTGTCACTGATTGTGATCTGAAGCTCGGCACCTCTCTCACACGCACACAATCTGCGCTCGACAAATGTGAAGCAGATGTAAGGTGCTTTGGGACCCCGACATCATCCTGGCAAAGGGCAGGCCCTTCCACTGACTTATCTGGGTGGGGTCAGCGGTGCAAAGTGGGACAGCTTAACTGGTCTCGGTTCACTTTTGCACGGGCCATTAGAGTGGGGAGAAGATGCTGCCGGGGCTCAAGCGTAGCAGAGCTGTAGGGAAGCATGGAGCTAGAGATTTATGTGCGAATGACGACTGCTTATCTGTATCCTCAGTAATGGAGGAGTTGATTGCTATCATGCAATGCTTTCCTGCACTCCTCCCTCTTTTTTTTCCCTTCCTCACTCCCTACTGCCCTACTGTGAGTAGGTGGTGCCTTGCTGTGCCTGATTGGTGCAAGTCTTTATAGGAGGAGAGACGCTCTAACAGGCTCAGAGTTTGGTGGTGCCCTTTTAGCAACACGTTCCCAAAAGGACTACCGGTTTTTGGAAAGAAAAAAAATCATCTTTAACAGAGAGGATTTACTTTTCCCCCCACCTCCTAACAGCATGACAGAGAACAAGAAGAAAGAAAAGAAAGGGAAAAAGAAAGGAGGAAAGAAAGGACAAAAAGAGAAAGAGGGCAGTCCCGCTACAGGTAAATTAAAAGTGTGTTTGAGTAATTAAAGTGTGTTCTTGTGTTTGTGTGTGGCAGAGGGGAACAGTGGCAGAGAGATTATCTAGCAGGTTTCAAAGTTTGCATCTTAAGGTAGTGTGTGTGTGGGGTGGGGGGGTGAACTTGGTGTCCCCCTTGTTTTGTCAAAGCTGTCTGCCAGGTTGTCACATGAGCTGATCTCTCAGTGGAAGAGGCAGAGAGGCGCTGGTTTTGGCAACACTTTAGTCCTATATGGAGGTTAAAAAAAATCCTCACGTGTAACAACTTTTAAACCAAGTTGTGGATCTCACCATGTGGCTCACCGTAACTGTGCTTTAAAGGCTTTTAATAATCCATGTTATGTCACATATCGCTGTTTTATTTTTAATTCTAAAATGAGTTTTAATTGAAACTAATGCTTGTCTGGCAGCAAAAAAAAAAAAAAACATGCATCATCATGCGCTCTTTGACAGCGTTAATATTTCAAAATGGGCTGAAGTGTTTCCCTGCCTATTTAATTTCCGAATCGGTTCTGAGTCATCCAGCTGAAATGTTTGCTTCTTTTTTCTTTTTTCTTTTTTCTTTTCTATTTTAAAAGCTGTGTTAGTATTGGGGAAAGCATGCAAGCTGTTGTATATCACCTTCTCAGAGGTTGAAGTGCGGTTGTTCAGTAGTGAGTTCTACAAGCTGCAGCATGTCACTTTAGTTTGACCTCAGGTCATGGGGAGGCCCAGCCCCCATTTCAGTGACACTTTAAGGACAATCCTTGGATTATTACAGTAGTTTCTTTTTGTTTGTTTGTTTTTCCTTTTCCCTCTTTGTGTGTCATTCTTTTGCTTGATCAGATACGGCCTCTTTCATTTGGATCATAGACATTTTGTACTTGGTGATGTCACCCTGTTAACCCCCAGCAGAACAACAGATAACAGACTCCTACTGTTGTTTTGCCATGTTGTAGTACAGAAAATTATCTGCTCAAGACATTTGAAGATGAAACGCAGCTACTTGCAAAATGTCCAAGCTGGATTTTAAACTACAGACGAGCTGAACAACAACTGACGTGAYATAAAATGATTTCATAATTTCAGCACACACTTGGAAAAAAAATTGCCTCTAAAGGTTTATTTTCTCTCCTTCTCATAGAAATTTGTGTGCCCGCCTGAATTAAATCATGCATTTAATTCTCCATCTGTCATGTATCTCTTTATAAAGCGATCCAAAGCATCATAATTAGATTTTGAATGAGCAATTTCTGTTTATGTGAAACTGTTTTATCTGAAACTATGTAATTTGTGCAAAACTATGTGTTGGTTTCAAAGTGAGTTAAGATGAAGTCATGATTGTTGTGTCTGCACTGAAACTCAGCATCAATAGCTCAGAAGAAACATAATTGACTTCAATTTGTCTGTTTAGACTTTTTTTTCTTCACACATCTATAGAAGCTCTGTTTTGGACAAAATAAAGCAGAAATATGATCAGAACTTGGTTCACGATTTGGTTTCCATTAACGCTTCTCTAGTTGTTATATTGTTTGCTGCCACTTGGTGGCACTCTCAAAAATACGCAGAATAATCTGATGTATAGGTTTCTCTCATTAATGGGTTATATTTGTTGGAGAAAAAGTGACTAAAGTTTTGACTCTAGTTGGTCAAATTAAATCAGATTGTTCATGAAAACAGTTTTTGCGTGTTTTTAAACTATCCGTTCTTTATAGTTTTCACATTGTCATGTTTGTGGTAAAAACAGTTCTTTGGCACTCTCGGCATAAAATAATCTTAAAATAAGACAGTGTCAGACGTGGCCCACATCTAGGATAAAACCATTTGCCATGCCAGCAGTGCCAGCTTGACACCAGATCTGGCCCACACTTGTCTGTATTTTCAGCTCATTTGAGCTTTTTTTCCCATTGTTCAGTCTCATTCGCTTCAACTCTGCTCGGGTTTATATGGTCCTGTTGGTTTTCCGTARGACTTGTGTTGTGCCTCGATGTGGGCAGCTGCCCGAAACTTCTGTCCAAGGCAAACACAAAACAGCAATGGGCAAATAAATTAACAAAAGTCACAAAACAAATCCTTCGCCACGGTTTCTAAAAATGCAATGGCTGAGTCAAGGCCACCTTCACTCGTTGAAGCTTGTAAGTCAAGTCCATTTGGTCCAGCTTTCTATTCCCTCTGTCAACAGCCAACAAGCACGGAAACGTCTTCACCTCCTTATAGTTGGTTTACGTGTTCCTATTTTAATGGTTATAAACATATATGTATATAAATTATTGAAATCAAAACATGGGAACAAGCCATGTACGTGTAAGAAAATTCGTATTCAATAAACTGAAGTCGATATTAAAAACACAATTGTTAAATAAAATGATTTGTAGAAGGAATTAAACCATACAATACCAGAATTCTGGATCTGAGTGAGGTTTATTGGCACTCAAGCTGACAGGAAACCAACACTCCCGGAAAACCAGGAATTTCATATATATACATAAATATCCACCTTCTTCAATGCCTGTGTTCGCCCCCTACTGACCAACGGCTGAATCACAGGCATTCAGACAAAATCCTCAGCTACTGTCATCACACCGGTTGATTACGTGTTGTCACATATTTCGGACATGAAACTAATCTATATCAATCAAAACACAATAGATTAAAGACTGTCAACATTACAAAAAGGAAAACCTAAGGATATAGTGTGGTGCTTTTAACATCAGTACTAACCTCTAATAACTTTAAATTTCTTCAATCCCACTGTTCACATAACCAAATCATGTGAACATATGTATAAATAATGTTTTTAAACATAAATGGCATAAACAAATGCTGTGATTAAAAGTTTTTGATTTTATTCTTGTGAAAACGATTCTCTGGCCAGTCAATGGCCATCAGTCAGCTGATGTCCAATCTTCGGTCGTGGAGATGCTAAGCAGAGGAGTTAGCAGATGGGATCACCCAATAAAGASCTTGAACCCACACCAAGTTGACCCTAGTAGGACTTRCCTCTCTTCTACAAATCCTCTGTCTTTGGAGATAGTTTGAATAGAWATTTAAAAGCCCCAAAAATCTTCAATATGAAATAAGAACAGCTCACACTAGCACACAGCAAACCAAGCTCAGACTAACACTCTGCAAGCTCATAGAAGCATAAAGCCCTGGCTGATCTATTCCCTCATGTGTAACCATTGATACTAAAAAATCTTTTTATATATATATTATTTAAAACGCTGAGTAATGCACAGATGAAACCAGGTTGTCCAGCTTGTCTTGGAAGCAAAAGCAGGGAAAATTCTTACGGGAAGCCTGATGTATTAGTTAAAATGACAAATATAGCACAAAGTGCTCAGTTATGTTTGATGTTAAACAAACAATACCACTCTTTACTGAAAACAAAAAGAAAAACGAGGCTTAAAAAAGTTTTACCTCGACTTTAGAAGTACAGTGACTGCAGCGAAGTTTGGTGTTAAAGTTGGGAGAAAATAAAGATTTAGTAGCTTATTTTATTTTACTTTGAGCCGCGACTCTGACACAAAATCACCTGAAAATTTCAATGTTGTTCTGAATGACACGATTTACACCCAAGAGGTTTAAGTTAAACAAAATGCTTGGATTGTGATTCCTGTCAGAGTATTTAAATTACTTCAAAGCCTTAATATAAATCCTACATCAACTGTAGAATGAAGTGCTTATTTTATAAGCTGTTTCAGTTCATGCAGCCAGTAGGGAAACATTTTAAAGTGATCCTGATTGTTGGGTTCTCGAAATTTGAAAATAAAATAAAATAAAATGTGCAGAATGGGTATAGAACCATAAAATACATCTTCATTCAAAKAACTAAAGATCTCAGAGGTAACTTTTTCTTGTCTTTGAAAATAGCTCAAAATGAGCTTTAATATGCATTCCAATGGAATGGTCTAATTTAGTAACATATTCAAGATGTTATTTCAACACAACTTCATGCATGTTACACCGTGGATTATGAGGTATTATACAATGTGCATGTGAACACGTGTCCGTCTGCGTTAGGTGTGTCAAACTCTTCATTTTATGTAAACACAAGCAATCTGCTGAGGCCGTCAGTCGCCAATTGCAGAAATCGCAGAGACATGTTTGTCTCGTGTCTTTCACTTCGAYTTTAATTTTGCACGTTCATTTGGGGAGAATATCCTCCCGGCAGGTGCTTTTTATTTTTTTTTTATGTCAATAAAAGTTCACCTCTTTCTCCTGGATCAAAAGAACTATTTGAACATGACAGATAAAGGACATACTTGGCGTTTGCCGTTACGTGACAAGCTCCTTTCCTATCACTTTATTTTTTTTTCATAAAACTGCTTCTATTAAGACGACTCACTTTAGAAAAAGTTTGAAAACAGAGAACGTCTTCAGAGCTTGACAAAATAATGTCCCTCTGTCAAAGCATTGATCCCAATTGAAAGAGGGAAAGAGGAAAAAAAAAAGGAAAAGCTGTGCCCCGGCTTTATTTCAGCTGCAATGCCATAATTAAATACTCGGTCTGCCTGACCTGCATAAATAAGCAGCAGATGATGTTCTAATTCACAAGCTGGCACCTCCCTTTCATCCGACGTCAAGACAAAACAAAACAAGTTCCATTCTGGGTGGATGGCTTTGCGTGCGTGTAGTGAGGGTGGTAATAATCACTCGGGGGGAAGTGAAGACTTGGCTCCCTTCACGTTGTTTTGGTTGCTCTTCATCATGTACCAACACCTACTGCGCCTTTCAGAGTTGAAAAAGCTGCCGCTTGAATCACTCAGCGGTAAAGTAGTTTATGGAGATGTATCAGAGGGAGACTGCGACCATGTTCGGCTGTGATGTTGTTGTTTTTTTCTATCACAGAAAACAAGATTTTAAAAGGCGCTGATAACCCAAAAAGCGAGCCAGCTGATACACATTCAACCTATAAGGTCTTTGTGGCAACAATTAATAGAAACAGCTCTGCAGTACTTTCATTAACAGGATTAAAACATCAAAAYTACCAACTGGTGATTT